CCTCTGTACCTGATGAAGAGCCAACCTGGGCCTGAAACAATGAACTTGTTTGTCTCATCATCCACCAGATACACTACTACAAATTTAAAGATGTTGGTGGAGATGTACTGTAGATGGTACATCAGTCTGAAGGTACAGTATTTAGGATTTCAGCTGGATGACACAGAGAAAAGACACCTTCGTTTGTTGCCCGTTTCTGTTCAACATAGATTTTAAAAATGTCAATTAGCTGAGGGTGATGTGAAAGGAAAGGTCACGGGGGCAAACAATATCCAAAGACCAGTAGACAGCACTTAATAAAGATAAAATCAAACACCTTCATCATTTAAGACTTCTAGTTATGAATAAACACAGCAGGAAACAAACTGAAGTATTTATTTTAATCTTAATTCATAAGAAAGTGCTATTAGTAAGCAGAGTTCTCTCACTACACAGTAACTGTGTTTATCTGGCCTCTGTTCTCAATTAATGAGCTTCCTGTCTGCTAGGTGAGTTTTGTGCTTTCAGCTGTTTGGATGGACGCCCTGGTTCACGTTTGCCTGCGTGTGTGCAGTCTGTGGGGGTGGGCAAAGGGGCGAGCCGGGGCGGCGGGCCATAGCCGGGGGGCAGGACGTGGCCTCCTTTACGGGACAGGAGACAAATCTCTTTTCTGAGGGCCTCCGCCTGCTGCGATTGTGTTTTCACCAGCTCCTGAAGCCTCCGAATCTCCGCCTGGTCCAGACGTCGTCTGTAATCCAGGAACTGTCGGCCCTGGATGTACACAAACAGATATCTATGTAGTAACAGATGGACAAACATACAAACTCACACATATGTCAGACACCTCAATAGTTAATAGTTCACTCAGTCTCGTGGACAGATATAGAAGAAAGCAGGCTAAAGTACTAACATGACATCCATGAGCTCTATGTTTACCCTACTATTTCATGTTAAAATGGCTGCTGTGAAAAAGGTCTAATAGTTTATACGAACATTGTGGAACTCAGCTTTGATTAATATCACATATGTTTTAATGTATTTTTGGGGGCTTTTATTGCCTTTATTTGATAGTGACAGCTGAAGACAGACAGGAAAGGGTGGGGCAGAGAGAGGGGATGACACGCAGCAAAGGGTCGCAGGTCGGATTTGAACCCTGGGCCGCTGCAGCTCTAACTGGGCGCCCATAAATATCACACATAAAATCAATCTAATGCACGGAAATTACCATTTTCTTCTGCCGAGCGTTGAGTTTGCACTCCAGTTCTTTCTTCTGGTTGAGGAGGTTCGTCATGGTGAGGAGACGCTCTGTGTTACACCTGGTCACCTCCATCAGAGCCTCATGCGCATCTTCTACCTTCGCCTGAATATCACACACACAGATACACACACAGAAATTCAAATCCAGAAAATCGTTTCTTTTAAACATGACATGTTGAGTTTGATTTTTGATCAGAACAAAACAACACAGAGATACAGTTAGCTCACACTTCCCATACACAAACACACACACACACACACACACACACTAGTCAGCGTACATCCCACTGTTTGATTTCCTTGGCGTATGCAGCTTCTCTGAGGAGTTTTTCCTGCTTGAGCTCCTCCAGCCTCCTGTTCCCCGACAGCGTCTGCAGCACCTCCAGATCCACCAGCCTCCCATACTTCATCATCATCAGCTGGTCACACTGCTGCTCCAGCTCTAATCCAACACACATACAGACACACAACTCAATTCAATTCAATTTTAT